GTCTTACACTGCTAAATTAGGGACGGCTAGCGCAGATAGCCCTCGTGTAGCTTTGCGCGAAATTCAAAACAAACTGTCAGGTTAGTGAAACAATTATTTCAAAACTATAGATATTTCTCTCAAACAACTTCCTTCATCGTCAATCACGCTCATTCTAACGACACTATTTCTCGCCACTTCATCTCACATCGTAACAAACTTCCGAGAAGGCCGTACAGATCAATCTTAGACCTCAAACCTTAATCAATTTTCCACAGACTTTCAGATGTATGACTATCTGTTTCCAAACCCTAAACCTTGCAGCAGATCAAAGGTAGAAAAAGTAGCAGGGGATTTGACAGGAATTGCCGTTATTAATGTTTCTTAGACCATCTTTATTATATAAAAAAGATGTTGATTTTGAGGCGTGGCTGGAAGTTTGTAGAATTATGAGTCTTCATCAACTTCAAATCTTTTGTTTATTTTTTGTTGACGGTAACAGAAGATAAGTACAGCTTCATCGTAATGTCTTTTTCAGTCAAAGGTCATAACCACAGCCTTTACTCTGTTGATAAAAGCGTTGCTCTAGATTAGCCCGGAGGTGTGGTTTTATGTACGAGTTTTCGCACACCTTAGAGATCAATGAAGGCCACTTATTTCGATATTTTCTTTTTTCTTTTTTGGCTTTTCACCGTTTAACGATCTCGCTTATGAAAATTTCTACTTGGAAAGAGCTGTAAAATAGTCATAAGTCAATCAGTAGTACCATTTTACAGTTAAATGATCAATAATTCGCTGTGAACCAAATATATAAGTGCTAAATCTGTTCATTATGGCGCCACAGCTCGATATGCGGCGCCACGGTAGGCATTGTATTAGAACACGCAGATCATTCGCGTAAAGTTGGGATAATCTTCTGGATTTTTCTTAAATTAACTTTAATTATATTTTCTGTCGAACCCGAAGATTCTCATTTGACTATGTGTTTAAAATAATTTTTAATTTCAGAATAAAATTTTATGTACAGAACTCGGAAATGGGTGGGTCTAAGGAGGGTTTATACAATTGTTGCCTGCATGATAACACATTTGCGTTATATATACACCTTCAATCGGGCAATCTTTCTCAAGAGCCGTGAAATATTTTATACATGTTTTAAAGACAAAAGTTTTTTGAACCGTATAAAAAATTTATGTTATTATTATTAAGAAACAGGATTCTGCTTTGGACTTCCTTCCAAATGAATATAATTCACGTGTCTGTGATGCCATGTTGAGTTTTGACGTATTCTGAAACGCAAGAAGCAAGTGAAGAGTTTAAGTATACTTTTACCACTGGTTTGAATAGACCATACAGAAATATTTTTTCTCAAGCCAAATAAAAGTCTGGTTTCCATTTTGTTTCCTTTCTAATTTTTGTAAATGTGCGAGTTACTGAAATTGTAGAAACTTGCATTCGCTACCAAATATGCTTTATATATTTGTAAAATTTCCAGATTAATTGTTTAGATCAATAGTAAGCTTCCTATGACCTAAGATTGATTTCTGAATTTCATGTGTAGGAAAATGTAATCATCTTAGCAAAATGTAGAGAGAACAAAACCAAAAATTGTATTAATCATTTCAAGTTATATTTGTTTTAAACTATATTGGAGCTATTCTGAATCACTTTAATGGTTCGCTGAGTTTATGTTCCTTGTAGGAATGCACGGATACCCAGCCAGATATTCGGTAATACTCGGCTTCGGCCGAGTGTCGAAGTTAAAAACAGCCGAATTCGAATAATTGAAAATGGCATCTGAGCCTTAATTTTTTAGGCAACTTATACGGTACTGAAAGTTACAGTCAATAATTGGTTTAATTAAAAATAAACATGTTCTGAGCGACAAAGACTGATAGCCCGCTGAAAGTCGGGATTCAGAGAACAATAGGGGTTAATAACAGGCATGGCTTGAGAAGTGGATTTCTTGGGAAGGTGGGTTTTTTGAGAACGATAGGGGTTAGAGTTTGAGAAATTGTGGCTAGGCATTAAAAGTTGAAAGTTTGTTTGTTTGGTTGTAATTAAGCACAAAGCTACACAATTAGCTATCTGTGCTCTGCCCACCAGGGGTATCGAAACCAGGATTCTAGCATTGCAAGTCCGCAGACATACCGCTGTGCCACTGGGGGGCAAGTTGAAAGTAAAACTTGAATGTTCTGTTGGTGATTATTCGGTTAAATGTAATAAACGTCCATTTTGTTTTTGTTTCTAATTTCTGTGTATGTTGTTTATTTTTGGGGGGAGGGCGAGGGGAGAACCCGATCTCAGTTGACCCTGGCCCCCGCCGAAGTTTAGTGGCCGGGTACCCGGACCCGATATTCGGCAAAATTTTACTACCCGTGCATCCCTAGTCCCTAGTATAGGTTTTTAGCATACATTTGGGGTTTCGAACAGCTACTACAAAGCACCAGTGAAATTCTACCGACAGATGTAACATATCCCGGTAAGACGTTGTATACATTAATATTCTTGATGCCACATCAGAAGGTTTTGTTTGTTTGTTTAATTGTAGTTGAGCACAAAGCTACTCAATGAGCTATCTGTGCTTTGCCCAACACGGGTATCGAAACCCGGTTTCTAGCATTGGAAGTCCGCAGACATACTGCTGTGCCACTGGGGAGGGGGGGGGGCATTAGAAGGTAAAAAACAAACAGACTACAGCATTTTCTCAACGAATCGTTGACACTATTAAATACTTCACTCGTACAATCGGTCAGAGAAACGAAAGGCAAATCAAACATTGGGAACTCCCACTCTGAACAATCTGGTGCAAAAGTTAACAAACCTGCTAATCTGAACAAATAAGCATACTAACACTCTTACAAAATTATCTCAATTTCAACGGGAGTGCGCTGCCGCAAAAGAGATAATGAATGAGTAAATGTTGTTACCAACCACTTTTTAGTCAAATATAAAACTATATATTCCATTTACTCACACTAGAATACGCAAATATTTTCATCGAAATTACTGGGAATTGAATCCCATGATTTTAGTGTAACAAAAACGAAATATTTTAATTACATGGAAAATACTGGCGTCATATAAAGTTGTATAGTTATGCTAATATTACATTTAAAGTAAATAGTGTAAGACTGCACATTCTCCTTACCTTGATTAATTTCGTTTAAATTTCATGCAAATGTGCTTAGAAATAGCTTCGCATGTAGAGAAGAGACAAATAAAAGTAAGTTGAAACTATATAGGGAAGATCCAACAAGATATCTCTGTCTCACAAGATATATTTGTATTATCAGACTGTTCTTATGGCCTAGTTCTTTGAAAGTATATAGATACATAATATAATAGTTAAAGAAAAGATGGAATAGTTTAAAATAGTTTAAGTATTTCCCAAATGAAAGATATCCTAAAGTAATAGTAATAATAATAATACATCTATAGTAATATACACATTAGAGGAACGTATACAAACCTTGTGGTATCTGAAACACAGCAACAGTGATACCTGCGATAAAATCCGCTAATAAATCTTGACGAAAGTTGTAGTGACCCAGCCAATCAATTACTGGAAACGATGATTTAAGTCCATTCTTAACGATTTTTGTTGAGCATTTCGGTCTAATCTTTTCCCAAATACATTCCAAGTGCGACTTTTTAAGCCCATTGTGACTTTCAAATTCGTTGTCAAATGTGGCTTGGTCGTAAGCCTTCCTTTTCACGTAGAACTCTGGGGATATCTCTTGAGAATTTGACATACTTGAAGTATATGGATCCATATTCAAGTTGATCTTAATATCTAAATAAGTCGGTGGTATCGAAAAATATTTGTGTTCAAAATCTTATTCCAATACATAATTGAGAAATGACAAAAAAACAAAAAAAACAATAGCAAACAAACAAATACACATTGTAAACTAATACCTTGATACTTCTATAATTAAATGGGGAACTTATAAACGAAGCATAAACATTTTATAAAGGAAATGTATAATTAAGATATAATAATCACAACTTTATTACTATAGCTTAATAAAAATGATACTTCGCCATTCTTTAAGTTTGCGAAATCTCTGACTGTAACTCGTTCAATCGCTACTAGTTTAATAGAAATTAGCAAATCCAGATCTGTTTTAAGTTCGTTATAAAATGGTATTTAATTAACTGATACGTCTCAACTGACTTTTAAACGCAAAATGTATGTTGCTCATGAATATAGAAATTCACAAATTATTATAAAAAGATAAACATATGAGAATACTTACCAGAAGAACTTTATTTTAAAAACCTTTCTATTTATCTGCAGGTTAAATTGAATAGGGAGGTTGACGGGCAAAAGGAAAAACAAACAAACCAATACAAAATATGATAAAACCTAGTTAAACAGGTAAGATTGGTAGACATTTTATGCAATACGTCGGCTGAATTACCGGGTAAAGACCGCAAGGTTAAGGCATCCTTATTGTAAAACTTTTGAACAGAAAGAAGGCAATCTGTCACCAGCACTAGCGGTCTATAGGTCTTCTTTTAACAGATTATTTTAGCGGAAAGCTACACACTGGGCTACCTTCTGAGGGAACTGAACCCCAAAGCTCACCGGTGAGCCAACGGAGGATTTTCTAAACTCAATAGTGGGACTGACTATCATAGTCTTTGACGCTCCCCATACCCTACAAGCACTGAATTGCGAAATGTGTTCAGCAGCATATAGCGGCTCGAATATTAAACTTTTTCGACCTGCAACCAGGTGTGCTGTCAAATACCCTGTTGAAGCACTATCATTGTAACCCTAGCGTGTGACTTTCATCACGGCATACTTTAAATTCTATTCTTCTTGTCATATCCTTCTCGTACGTTATGCGTATTGAGCAAGATATTTTAAGCTAGAATACTACAGAAGTTGAGTTCTTTATAATAAAACGTTTTTGTAGCCTTACTACGTTGTTGCGAACCATATAGCCATGACCGGTCGTACTCTATCTGAAGACCCTGAATCCCTGTAGCATAGTTTCTATCGCAAAACTCTCCGTATTAACGCCGTCGTATTCAAAGCCCACCTCTTCTCCTTGCTTACAGTCCCCGATCCATTTAGCATAGGAGGAGGAGGAAAAATCTATAGGTGCTACCTCCAGTTTCTATACCGGTATGTCTTTGTACGAAATAGTATGGACACTCATTTCATTTCTCCATCTGCTTGAGGTATGTGACAGTTAGACGGATGTGTTTTAGAGGCCAACATCGCCTATGGTGGCCTCAGTGAAACCTGGGAATCAAAATACTTAACAGATTTGATCATCAGGTAAGCGAATCAACAGAAAAAGAAAAACTTTTATAAGTGGAAATATAAATAATTAAACAAAGCAATGTCTACAATGACACAAGTGGTCGCAGAAACAACGAACTATACCCACAGATTGCAGGTATGCAGGGGAAAGAAGAAAAAAGTAGATGTCTAATCTCAGGCGCCAAACTATGCTTAACCAAACATAGCTCTTAGTTTGGGCTTAGACCAGAGAGGTCAGCTAGAAATTTTTCATAGCTGTTTGTTTTGGTAAAATGAGTGATTGTTTTTTAAAGAAACGTTCTTCTTTGCAAGACACCTTAAGTGGGTGGTCTAGAGGTCCTCCCCTCCCCTCCAGAAAATTGTGAAAATTTGGATGCTTTAACATGCGTTTTACAGACTATTTGGAGAGAGAAATGACTTCTTTCCAAGCTAAGAAACGATGATTAATTTCAAGATTTTTGTACCTTTATATTCATACATTTTCTAATTGAACTGTGGGTAATCACTTTGGATTAAGGTTTTTTATGTTCCCCAACATTTCTTTTTTTAATTTCCACTCTTACATATAGAAAGTCCAGTTGTAAAAATGTGGTTAACTTGCTAGTGAACCAGTTATACATTGTCATAGATCGTTTCCATTTGGAGTTACTGAACTCTCACACATAAAATGTCAATGGAGAATTAGGTAGTTTTTATAGTGAGATCAACTGTGTAGAGGTTTAGCAATGTCTGGAAGAAGTTATGTCTTCCCTATTTTTACTCATTGAATGATCAAATAACATGGGTGATCAACGCATTCTGGGAAAAATAACCTAATTGTGTTATCTGTATAGTGGTTAGCTGTCTAAGTCCTATTTCTTCAAACTTCTTCAGATCTTCTGATACAAAACTCTATCCAGTTTCTAGAGAGCAGTGTTGTAAAAGTGGAATAATTTTACTTGTTTTCATGAAGACAAGAGTCCAATAACCACTTCATTAATGTGTACTTTGTTTATGCATAAATTAGACAACTATTCATTTGAAAGCGAACGCTATGACATTATTACAAAGTGTAAAAGAATATATTATGAATAGAATTAAGCTTTCATGCTAATTTTAATGAGCACGACATAACTAAGATTTAAAAAATATATAGCAACGTCCCTGTTATTAAAAATGCTGCACGAGCCAGAATGAAGGCAGATGAAAGAATAGAAACTGGTAAGCACGAGAAACTTCTTTTTACTTATATTTCTGCAACTAAACGTGCAGAACTGTCCACTATTTATGTGATATCTCAAGAACAACTCTAAAAAGTTACGAAGGTTGATAAGGATAACAGTAAGACACCTAATTTGTTTGAAATGTTTACATATAGCTCAGACTATATGCAATCCAGGCAATATGGAGAAGAAACTATTTAGCACTCTTTGGTTTTGTATAATATATATATATCAAGTGCACCCAATTGTCAACTTAAATAAATACATTCTTAATCTTTGAGTTATATGAAATTATATTTTCTAAAAAATATATTGAATAAGAAAATTGGGTGATCTGCCTTTGCATAACAGTAAGAAATGCCAAAGCTGTAAGTACAGAGTGTAAGTCAATAAGTTGTATATAGTGGTCTCAAGATAACAACTAGGTGTTTATCTATGATATCACATATCTAACACTCGAAAATTAGTCGCACATGATATTTTATTAAACTATTTGACACACAATATCTGGAGTGCAACAAGCAGACAGAAAGGGCATTCCAGAAGATTGAGTACTTTATATCCCAAAGATATAAAGTTATTTTTGGGATAATTAAAATGTCGCAGCTGAACATATCATGCTCCACTATATATATATAGTGGTGCGAAATAAGAAACAGGTAGAAGATATAACACATTTGTTGCGTTCTGTTCATTCCGAAAATAAAACCTATTACAGAAAAGGGTAATTAAGGAAAGACATACGATAAAGCATGGGTTATGTGGATGATAATACCAATGTTTCCTGCATCAAGAGAATGTTCAGCTACTGAAACATCTGTCAAGCTATCTCAACAAGTATTAAAATATGTTATTTATATCTATCCATATATATACAAACATGTTTCATATGAAAAACTGACCTTAAAGCAATCAAGCAAAAATGAGATCTTAAAAATCAACTACTATTTCTAAGCTTCCGTTATGAACAACGTTTAGCATATCACATGATGAGGCAGAAAATTAGAAGGTAGAAAAGGAAAGATGGAAGGAAAAGGTTCTTTGTGAACTCAAAAAAAGATTTAAGGAGCATCTCTTTGAAGTTTTAGTTATCAACAACACATTAATATATATCCCATGAGACAAAATAAAAAACTTGTAAGGTAGAAAATGAAAGAAAGCTAATGATGTAGGGAAAGCGTTCTTTGAAAACTATCACTCTAAAGGGCAATAAAATGAAATAAATTTATCTCTTTAGAAAAATGAAAAAAAAAGAAAAGTAATATTGTAAGTCTGGTATTATGGTTTGAGTTTCAACCCACCAACCAGGCTAAGATATCTTGCGATCATCTAATCATATGTGCTCGTATCAGTCTTGAGCTACTTAGTCGGGAGACAAAAAACTACATAAACTCGAGTACCGTGTTTAGCGAACGTACCTGAAGTTCCATTTTCTAGTATAAAGCACCTATTTTGGCACGTTGAAGAGCATGTTCACAATGCTGCATTTGCGCTTATCACATAATCTAATAACTGAGTGTAATTAATACAACTTACTTACCCTATCTGTATACATATATAGATATACATTTTCAGAGATAAGAATCAATTTACGATAGAAGAGAAATATATTCAAATATTATGTAGGTGAGAACAATTATAACTGAAAGTAATATGTGAAAATAAAATTATAAGTATAATTACATTAAAAATATTTGAAAATTCACGCACAATTAAATAAAAAAGATTAACAGTTGACAGTCGTATAATGGTGAAACAGCAAAGCTTTTACGTCGTCTTTGGATATTATATATATATAATAAAAGTTATATATTACTTGATAGTTTTTGTGTAGCGTTATTTTCTGATTACAATCTATATTGTAGTAGCCTGAAATATTAAGTGAATTTTACATTATAGCTTATTTGTTGCTAAGTTCACACTTCTGCTTTGTATTATTGTTATTAGAGTGCTTACTTCATTTTATTTATTTTGTCTTTCGTTTTTGTTCCTCTTAATCTCAGCTCAATAAAGAAAAAATTGAATTGTAATGATACATAACTACATCATCGCTGCCTACAGCCTCGTGTATTTTAACAACCTCTGTAAATTATGAATTAAAGCACAACTCTACACGTGCCTTACAAAAATAAGGCTGTCAATACAGCCTCGTGTATTTTAACAACCTCTGTAAATTATGAATTAAAGCACAACTCTACACGTGCCTTACAAAAATAAAACGTTTGAAGACATATAAATAATTATCGTTTTTGATAAACAACTTTCTACTCAATAACTGTGTAACAAATCTTAA